TCATTTCAATTATATAGATTAAGAAGTCTTCTGCAAAACTTTTGAAACCATGAGAAGACTTTACAAAAGTTTTTTTTTTGGTAAAAACTTTACAAAAGTTCCATACGTGTATTTCTAAAACACTGCCGCCGGTTGATATTATCTCCCCTCCGCTCTATAGTGAGAAACTCATAAATCTACAATCATACAACTATTTTTGGAATAAATGTGGACATGTCAAGTTACATGGTTAGAGATTGATAACTAGTTCAGTTTCAGAACTCACTAACGAAAAATCGGACAAAGAATTTGATTTATAAGTACTCAAATGATCAATCAATATTGCTGATCCCACAATCAAATCAATTAAAATGAAGAGGGAGTTTTTGGGCTGCTTGATCAAATGAATGTGACTATGGATTGTCGTGATTTCCGGTGTAGAAAAAGATGTATGCATTCAAAATGATAATCTCATCAGTTTCCTTTATCTTTTCGGTTTTCCTTATTGATTGGCAGTGTCCCCACGGTTTTAAATTGAACCACAATCATTAAAATTCAATTTTATTCAGACCAGAATAAATAGGTATTCAGCCATTTGAAATTTTGTGATTGTGAATACATAAAAGATTTCCTTTTCGTACGTGTCGAACAACCTTTTCTTTTTGTCATCGTATACAACGTATTTTTCCTTTTCTTTCCTCTCTTTTTTTTTTATCTTTTTTATCTTCCCTACTTTGCTCTACTTCACACACAGTCACATCCATATTATAAATCTTTCATCGATTCTAGGCCCACCCATAAATAATTGAGCTTACATAAAAATACATGCTTATAACGTGGGTATTAGTGTATTACATTTGCATGTACATGAATACAAGAACCTAGAGTGGGAGACATGAGAGTATGAGACTCACAAGAAGCAGAAAAGAAAGGATAAGAGATAGAAAGAGAGTGAGAAGTTATGGGATACTTCTTGATTGGTTTTCTTGTGATTGTTTTGTCGGTTGGAAATATTATTGAAGAAACAAATGGTGAAATTCCTCAAATAGTTTTAAGCCAAATAAAAAGGATGGATAAAAGAGGTCCTTATTTGGGGATTGTAGCGCCAAATAACTATGAGCTTAACCCTCTCCTCGACTCTAAAGCCTATGTTCCAGATTTCTCTTTGCCCTTCATCGATTTTGCGGGTAATTTTTTGTACGATGTCATTCCATTTTGGATTCAACAGTGTTATTTTAAAACCAAACATAGTTTATCAGATGAATTCACAAAAGTCAATTCTTTTTCTGTATATTATTCTGGCGGATCGAGTAGATACCAGAAAATTGTCAAGTCTGTTTTACAAAAAAAAAGTTTTTTATTGTGCTAGTTTGCAGATTAAGTTTCTTTTCAAAAAATCTTTCGTCAAAACTTTTAATAGCAACATATATCTCAAGTCCTTTTTCTCTATTCACTTGAGAGTTTTTAACGGGAGTACATATATAGATATTGAGCTGGTTTATATAAATCACGCAGGTAAAAGCTTCCGGTTTGGGAAAATATTAAACCAACGAGTGGTAATCGTCATGTGTGGATTAGGGATGGTACGTTTCTATAGCTGTGCTGTGCAAGTACTCTGTATATACATGTCTTTCATGATTTCATCAGAAACAACTTGTTCCATATAATATGAATATTTGTTCATCTTTTAATTTATAGTTTATTACATAACACATACACATAAAAACAGGTGAATGCAGGAGTAACAACACAGTTGCTAGTGAGCTTGTTTAGGCTGCACGGAGTGTTGCATTATGGAATCGCTGGACATACAGATGTTGCTAGTGAGACTGGTGACGTCATTATTCCCAAGTTCTGGGCCCACTCTGGTCTTTGGAATTGGCAGGTAGGATTTTGTAATAACCTATTACCAATAATATTTGACATTTAGCCTTGTAGCTTGTTTTCATGTGTATGTTATATTGTTATCATTTACGTTAGAATTAGACTTGCATTAAAAGGATAGTTCATAGTTATTTTCTATTTTTGGGTTCATAGAGGTATGGAGATGGCGTGGACATCGAGCTGGCTTTGGAATCCGGCGGAGACTATACTCGCGATATTGGTTATCTCCAGTTTTCCAAGTACAATAACCATTCCGATAACTTGCTCAACCGAATCTGGTACCAACCGGAAGAAATCTTTCCGGTTACCGGAACTCCCGAAGTCCGGGAACACATCTTCTGGATTCCCGTTGACACATCCTACTTGGATCTTGCACACCAACTCGAGGTTTGTCTAACTCTAAACTGACATACATATGAATATTTCTTTTGGTGATAGTAATTTTTATTGCATTCAAACAAAAACAGGACACGAAACTACCGCAGTGCGTGAACACCACGTGCCTCCCTCGACCACCGAAGGTGACCATCGTTGACCGTGGTGTGAGTGCAAGCATCTTCGTGGCCAACGCCGCTTACAGAGCTTTCCTCCGTTCAAGATTCAACGCCACCGTATTGGAAATGGAAAGCGCCGCCGTTGCTCTCATCTGCCACCAGCAAAGCATCCCTTTCATCGTAATCCGTTCCCTATCCGTCGGCGGAGGAGGCTCCGGCGTTTCTAACGAGGCCAACATATTCAGCAGCCTCGCCGTACAAAACTCCGTCGATGTTCTCGTGAAGTTCGTTGGTTTGTTACCTCCACAGGGAAACAAGTTATATCAATGATTAAAACCAAAAAAAAAGTTATATCAATGAGAGTAATAAGTGTGGATATAAGTATCGGATAATTTGGAATCAAAGCAAATCTATCGGATAATTTTCCCAAATCTAAATTGTCACCTACATTTTTTAACTACAAGGAAAAACAATGATGAAATCTCATCATGCCATCCAAAAGCTGAATGATAAAATGGATAAGATATTGAAGCGTAAAAATATATACATAATGGAGTAAGTATGTAGGTGACATACTAATATGGTCTAAATTGTAGTATCAATCAGTCTCTTGTTTATAAAGAAAAGTAAAGATTTAATGATAACAGGTTAATAAATATTCAAATAATAATATTATAAAGTCAAAGATAGTGTAGTGGTTTAAGAAAGATTACAGCTTACTTTTGAGTTATAAAAAAGTGATATCTATGTAAATGAATTGTTCTTTCGGTTTTTGTTTGCAAATACATGCCAATTTAAATTAATTTAAGGTTAAAAAACAAATTCCGAAAAATGTAGGGTGTCTAGTGCTAAAAATAAAGGAAAAAACAAAAACAAAAACTTACTCTGAGTTTTTCTTTTAGTTTTGGTCTTTTAGTGCACCAGTCAATTTTCATTTTTAGAAAAACAGCAAAAATTCAGCAAAATTCCGCTAAATTTGATTACTTTATTTTCCTTTAATTTTCTCTCTATCTTCCCTACTTTTGCTCTACTACACATACAGTCAAATCCATATGCTAAAGCTTTCACCGGTTCTGGGCCCACCCATAAAAAATTGAGCAATATGAACATCCATGCTTATAACGTGGTTAGACTATTAGTGTATTACATTTGCATGTACGTAAATATAAGGAACCTAGAGGGGGAGACATGAGACTCATCACAAGAAGCAGAAAAGAGAAGGTAAGAGCGAGAAAGAGAGTGAGAAGTTATGGGATACTACTTATTCGGTTTTCTTGTGATTGTTTTGTCGATTGGAAATATTATTGAAGAAACAAATGGTGAAATTCCTCAAACAGTTTTGAGCCAAATAAAGAGGATGAATAAAAGAGGTCCTTATTTGGGGATTGTAGCTCCAAATAACTATGAGCTTAACCCTCTCATCGGATCTAAAGCCTATGTTCCAGAGTCCTCTTTGCCTTTCATCGATTTCGCGGGTAATTTTTTTTACGATGTCTTTTTATTTTGAAATGAACATGTTATTTTTAAACTGAACTATGTATTCATCAGATAAATTTACAGGGTCAATTCTTTTTTGTATATCATCGGTTATATTATCTAGGCGGATCGAGTAGATACCAAAAAAGTTATAAAGTATTTTTACAAAAAAAACTGTTTATATATTATTATGCTAGTTTGTAGGTTAAGTTTTTTTTCAAAAAAAACTTTCGTCAAAACTTTAATTTTAATAGCAAGATACATCCCAACTCCTTTCTTCTCCATTCACAAGAGAGTTTTTCACGTAGATGTCTATAGTATATACAGTACATCGATAGATATTGACCTTGTTTATATAAATTACGCAGGTAGAAGATTCCGGTTTGGAAAAATACTAAACCAACGAGTAGTAATCGTGATGTGTGGATTAGGGATGGTACGTTTCTAAATGTGCAAGAACTCTGTTATCTGTATATACACGTCTTGATGTCTATATATTCATCATCAAAAACAACTTGTTCCATATATAAGAATTACATAACACATACACATAAAAACAGGTGAATGCAGGAGTGACAACACAGTTGCTAGTGAGCTTGTTTAGGCTGCACGGAGTGTTGCATTATGGAATCGCTGGAAATGCAGATACTGACCTTGAGATTGGTGACGTCACTATTCCTAAGTTCTGGGCCCACTCAGGTCTTTGGAATTGGCAGGTAGGGTTTTATAGTAACTTATTATCAATAGTATTTGACACTTAGCCAATAGGCAAAAAACAGCCATTAAATATATCGATTGTCGGCAGATTATGGAAGATAATCACGACCTAGGCTCTGCATAAAATACAGAAAACACTTTAAAATTGCAATCAGGATAATTATACAAAAAGAAGATCAGGATTACATTTTCTCTAGTTTAAAAACTAGACTTGCATTAAAAGAATAGTTCCTACATTTTTGGGCCTCATATATCATAATTGTACGTGCATTCTTAAGAAAATTATATAGTTTAACATTAACGAATTTGAATGTATTTATATAGAGGTATGGAGATGGCATTGACGACGAGCTGGCTTTGGAATCCGGCGGAGACTATACTCGCGATATTGGTTATCTTCAGTTTTCCAAGTACAATAACCATTCCGATAACTTGCTAAACCGAATCTGGTACCAACCGGAAGAAATCTTTCCGGTCACCGGCACTCCCGAAGTCCGGGAACACATCTTCTGGATTCCCGTTGACACGTCCTACTTGGATCTTGCACGCCAGCTCGAGGTTTGTCTAAATTTACACTGACATAGTTTGAATATTTGTTTTGGTGATATAAATTTTTTAAATTAAATTATTGCATTCAAACAAAAACAGGACACGAAACTACCGCAGTGCGTGAACACCACGTGCCTCCCTCGAGCATCGAAGGTGACCATCGTTGACCGTGGTGTGAGTGCAAGCGTCTTCGTCGACAACGCCGCTTACAGGACTTTCCTCCGTTCAAGATTCAACGCCACCGCCGTGGAAATGGAAAGCGCCGCCGTTGCTCTCATCTGCCACCAGCAAAGCATCCCTTTCATCGTAATCCGTTCCCTATCCGATCTCGCCGGCGGAGGCTCCGACGTCTCTAACGAGGCCAACATATTCGGCAGCCTCGCCGCACAAAACTCCGTCGATGTTCTCGTGAAGTTCGTTGGTTTGTTACCTCCACAGGGGAAAAAGTTATATCAATCAGAGTAACAAGTGTGGATTGTGTATCGCAACTAAGAGCATGCATGTAACGGAAAAATAAGATGTAAGATGTCTGTGTGTGTGTGTGTGTGTGTGATTGTTTGTTTTTGAAGAATAAAAGCAGTGTCTTGTTCATCGTTTTTAAATTAATAAAGTGTTAGAAATCTTTGTTTTATTTATATTGGGGTTTTAAGAAAAGGCTCTTGATAATATCGATCGATGATCTAATATCTAATCATCGGTTTCGTGTTGTTGTTGCGGATGACAACTGCGAGTAAGACAAGTCCAACACAATCATTGAGAAAAGTAATAATAAAATTCAGATTTTCAAAGTTTCTTTTCCTTTCAACAACTACATTTGAATTTGATTTGCGGATGACAACTACATTAAGGTATATACTCATAGTAAATAGTCAAAGTTTTGGCTCAAATTTGCTGAAGTTAACTATGAGGCCAAGAACTATGCGCAATCAGAGCAGCTAAATTCACACATTTATTGACGATTTTATCTTTGGCATTTCCACCGAGCAGCAAAAGAACCACACACCTACATGTAAAATAAACTTCGATCAAAGGAATTTTAGATAAATAACAGAACTGTAGAAGATATATTTATTTTTGGAGGTTGACCTCAAGGGAGTAAAGAGAGAAGACTATCATAATTTTCAAAATTACACTTTTTCTAATTTTGTTTTTTTTTTTGGTGGGTTTTTCTAATTTTATTATATAAGTTTGGGTTCACTAGTCATTGACTAGAGTTAATGACTAGGGTTTATAGTTTTGAAAATGAACAATCTAGAAGTATAGTTTTGAAAATTCATTTTTGTGTAGTTTTTACATTTCCCTTAAAAATATTTCTCAAATTGGAAACATAATTGGGCTTGTTGTTTGATAGGGACCCGATGAATTACTTTCAAAGTATAGTCCAATTATATTTCATTTAAATTGGCCAACTTATATTAGGCCCGAATAATTGACCAAAGCATGTTCTCTTAGTGTTACCAAATTCAAATTTGAATGTAATGCTGCGTATAGAAATAGCAAGTGCTACGCCAATAAGTATATCATCATTCCTACTGGTTTCAAGAAAAAAAAAAAAGTATACGGTTCTACAAGAAATAAAATACAAAGCTCAAATAATAAAACTTTGAAGGGCTCAAGATATACTGTATCCACAGGAGGATGAGGAAACATGAAACTCCCAAGACAAAAGAAACACCAAAACTTAGCTGGACACCAGAAATAGGACAAAAGCTAGAACGGTGTCGTATCTCTCACAACGGTCGATACGTGTTTGGTTTCAACTTTCAAATAGTTTATGGTTTTTTCATTTTCATATTGCAAAGTTTTTTGAAATTTATTGAGAGGGATAATAAAGTTACCCTTTTTTTTAAGACTTTGACTTGGACGAAAACTGAGAATCCGACACATTTAACTCTCTTGCTCTCTCTCTGTCTCGACACTCTACAAAAAAAAACACATTTCTCCCTTTGGTTCCTGAGCAAATATTATCGAAATTCACACCCTTTTCTTATCGCTACAGTAGAGACTCACCGCAAGCGTCTCTTGTAAGCTCATTTCTAGGCTTCTTCAGCACTCATCTTCTTCAGCACTCATCTTCTTCTCCTTCTTTAACTACTTTTTATTTTCCTTAATCTTCTGGGTGAACTTTGTTTCTTGGAGTAAGAGAATGAGCGCTTCGAAGTTCATAAAATGTGTTACGGTCGGAGATGGAGCTGTCGGGAAGACATGTATGCTCATCTGTTACACAAGCAACAAGTTTCCTACTGTGAGTTTTCTTTTAAATCGTTTCCAAGAATTTTCTAATTGGACTTTAGCTTAGAGAAGAGCTGTGAGAGTTTAGGATTAGAGATCTGGTTTCTTTGCTTGTTTATTGTGGTTAATAATATCCTCCAGAAATTGCAGTTTCTAAGGTTTCATCTGATGCATGATTCTTGCTGTTTGACAGGATTATATACCGACTGTGTTCGACAATTTCAGTGCCAATGTCGCTGTGGACGGCCACATCGTGAATTTAGGGCTATGGGACACTGCAGGTAAAAACCAAAAAAATTCTAATTTAATTCTGAAACCAATGAGCCAAAGGATTGAAATTTATGGTTCATTTGCATAAATTCAGAAACTTTTCTCTCAGGGTTTTGTTGTTTTTGATTGGTGTTCATTAGGACAAGAAGATTACAGTAGACTGAGACCATTGAGTTACAGAGGAGCTGATATCTTTGTCTTAGCCTTTTCACTCATCAGCAAAGCGAGTTACGAGAATGTACTCAAGAAGGTAAAATTTTATAAAATTTCTCCTTGCATTCGAGTAGATTTAGCTGATTGTTTATGTGTATTGAATCTGAATCTTTGTTGTTGTTTTTGACAGTGGATGCCTGAACTTCGTCGGTTTGCGCCAAATGTTCCCATAGTCCTTGTTGGTACAAAGCTAGGTAAGTTTTTTGCTTTGCTGATTTTGTGTGTTTGGAGTTTTGTTTTGAATGATCTCTTGACTGATACATTACGTTGTGGTCTTGTAAAGATCTCAGGGATGATAAGGGATACCTAGCGGATCACACAAATGTCATTACCTCTACTCAGGTATATTTGCGTAAATCTTGCTTCTTGTTTTGTTTTGATTTGAATCTTATGACATGAATGAAGCTTATGACTTTGTGTGGAGACAGGGAGAGGAATTGAGGAAGCAAATCGGTGCAGCTGCTTATATAGAGTGTAGTTCCAAGACTCAACAGGTAAGTTATAAAGTTACCCTTTCACAGAAATGGAATGTTGTGGTGAAAATGTTTTGATATTTTTGATGACTTTTGCTTTGGATTTGTTCTGTAGAATGTGAAAGCTGTTTTTGACACAGCGATCAAAGTGGTTCTTCAGCCTCCGAGGAGGAAGGAAGTGACAGTGAGGAAGAAGCAACACAGAAGATCCGGTTGCTCCATTGCGTAAGCACTTCTAAAGATTGTACATTTTTCAGATTGCTGAATTTTTTTACAACAAGATGTACTAATTTCAACTCTCCAAAATCTGTAGGAGTATTGTCTGTGGAGGCTGCACGACGGCTTAGGACACAACACAAGTCTCAACAACAATGTGTCTCTCTGTCTCTCTCTGAAGATAAGGGAACTGTTGGTTCTCTTATTTGTATGTGAAGAAGCTCCTTTCTTTCTCTGTTCTTGTGTTTTGTAGATTTGCAGATTCTGTTATATTATTGGTTTTTTGTTAACAAGTTTTTGATCTTTTAACAAATTTGGAATTCTTAATCTTGTTCTTTGAGGGACATGTAGATTGTATCACTTCACCATACTAAACTACATGAAGTATCAAAACATAAAAACTAACTTGATAAACCGAACATAAGGTATATGAATCAACAAAAAGATATAGATTCTAATAAATTTTGAAAAAATCAGTATTAAAGTTTGGCTTAGTTTGATGTACTAGTTTCATCCAAAAAATTAAAACCATGCTCATAAATATACAAATATTTAATGTCCACTAAACTATCGAAGTGTACAGTATTATACACTTTACAGTTAGAATGGTCCACAAGTTTGAGGGTATTTTAGTCATTTACGACCGGGAAGCGAGATTTGTAAGTGGTGGATTCGTAAGCGTTATATATCATCATCAAACCGGGAAAAGGGAAAGAAGGATCTGTCGAAAAACGACGCCGTAGAGATGGATAAACAGCCGGCGAGCAGTTGGAGTATCCATACCCGGCCGGAGATAATCGCCAAGTACGAGATCTTCGAGCGAGTCGGATCCGGAGCCTACGCCGACGTCTACAGAGCTCGCCGTCTCTCCGACGGTCTCATCGTCGCGCTCAAGGAGATTTTCGATTACCAGTCGGCGTTCCGGGAGATCGACGCGCTCACCATCCTCACCGGATCCCCTAATGTCGTCGTCATGCACGAGTACTTCTGGCGCGAGGACGAGAACGCCGTGATCGTCCTCGAGTTCCTCAGGACGGATCTCGCCGCGGTGATCCGAGATGCTAAACGGCGGAAGAAGGGATCAGGCGCGGAGAAATCGGATGGGTTCTCGGTTGGCGAGATTAAGCGATGGATGATTCAGATTCTCTCCGGCGTTGATGCTTGCCACAGGAATCTGATCGTCCACAGAGATTTGAAGCCTGGGAATTTGTTGATTTCTGATGATGGAGTGCTTAAGCTTGCCGATTTTGGCCAGGTGATTCTCATACTCATATTGCTTAATCATCCCATAGTTTAGTTTGATGATGAATGTTACTTAGTCCTGGTTTGTATTATATCAAAGTTTCTGTGAAGTTTATAATAAGTGTGTTGGCGTCTTGGCTCGTTGATAGGCTAGGATACTCATGGAGAGTGAGATTGTGGCTTCAGATGAGAACCAGCAAGCATACAAAGATGGAGAAACCAGTAAAGAATCACCAGAAGTGATTCCTGACTACGAGAACTCGTCTCAGCAAGATGGTCATCAACGGGAAGCGATGAGTAAAGACGAGTACTTCCGTCAGGTGGAAGAGCTCAAGGCTAAACAGGTTGTGAGAGATGATGCTACAGATAAGGACTCGAACGTGCATGACGGAGACGCATCTTGCCTCGCAACGTGCACCGTTAGTGAGATGGATGATGATCTCGGAAGGAACTCTTTTTCTTACGATGCTGATGAAGCGTTTGATGAGAATGCACAAGGTTTAATGACATCTTGTGTGGGAACACGGTGGTTTAGGCCGCCGGAGCTGCTCTATGGGTCGACGATGTATGGGTTAGAGGTGGATCTGTGGTCGCTTGGTTGTGTGTTTGCAGAAATTTTGTCACTTGAGCCTTTGTTCCCAGGGATTTCAGATATTGATCAGATCAGTAGAGTGACCAACGTGCTTGGGAATCTAAATGAAGAGGTTTGGCCAGGTTGTGTTGATCTTCCGGACTATAAGTCGATCTCGTTTGCTAAAGTGGAGTCTCCTCTTGGTATTGAAGGTTGTCTTCCAAACCATTCAGGGGATGTGATATCGCTGCTTAAGAAGCTTTTATGTTATGATCCAGCTAGTAGAGCTACTGCTATGGAGATGTTGAGTGATAAGTATTTCAGTGAAGAGCCACTTCCAGTTCCAGTTTCAGAGCTCTATGTGCCTCCCACGAGGAGTGGGCCAGATGATGAGGATTCACCGGGGAAGTGGAATGATTACAGAGGAATGGATTCGGATTCAGATTTTGACGGGTTTGGGGGTGTGAATGTAAAGCCTACGAGTAGTGGATTTACAATAGAATTCCCCTGAAGGCGAACTGCATTTAAGGTACGCGATCAAAATGATCTCTCTCGCTTGTTTATACAGCTTTGCCTCTTTCACCTTCATTACCAAAATTAGACATGTGTTTATGTCTATTGTCTGATGTTTCCTTGTCAGGTCGATTACATTTGGCCGGGTCCGTGGTTGAGAGTCTTGAATCCGACTCTGTCAAAATTGTGTTGTGTGTTGTCTCTCTCCCTCTGTGGTGTAGAAAAATGGTAACATTTACAACTGGGAAGTTGGTGTTAGCATTAGCTAAAGAGCTAGTTTTCTTGACGCTAAGGCCAAATTTTACCCTTTGTTTTTTCCATCTGAAGTTAACAATGAGAAGAAAATAAAAAAGATCAATTCCTTTGTTCTGTGTTTCTTCATTTTTTTCTGTTTGATCCTTGTATTAATCTATTATCAACATGTGAAACAGCTTCGTCTCATCACCGTCATTGATGAGCATTGAATAAAAAAACTGTGAACAATGACTCAATGAGGCCATGCATGAATAAAGCCAATCCTAGGTGTCATCGCGTTTGATATCTGATATCTCCAATAGCATAAGTAGTAGCACACACAGAAAGAAAATAAGAAAATCATCATAGATTGACTCCATGAATCAGCCTATACATGTTAAAAATTAAACCTAAGGGGCAATTTAAAAAGTTGGACTGAACCTTAGGGGCCAAATGATAAATTAACTGACAGTTACCAGCATCTATCGGCGCAGCCTCCTTAGGTTTTTTTTTTTGAAACGGACATCGAGATTTCAGGGAGTAAGCTTGAGTGAGAATCGGAGAGAAATGGGGTCGAATGAAAGAGATCATCCGACGCAGCATCACCCGCCTCAAATCAGCAGTCTCATCGTGCGACCATCCGGAAGCCACGACGGAGAAGACGACCGCCGCGCCGCCGCCGGAGACTATGAGACCGGAGAAGTCTCCCGTGACCGGCCCTCATTTTCTCGCTCTGATCGGCATAAACGTGACAACGGTTCGTATCTCTTCCAACATTACTACATTCCAGTCCTTTTTACTTTCTGCTGAGTGGTTTCATTTCTGAAATAACGAAGAACAGAGATTATCTGTGAGATATTACGGGTTTTACTGAGACCGGTTAGCGGTTACTGGAATTGCTACTTTAAAATTTCATTTCATTCAGAGAAAACCAAGCAGGGTTTGCGAATTTCTGTATACCTCTTATTCGATGGTTTCTCTCCGTTGGCTTGTTGAGAGGAATCACGCTCTTCGTTCACGTTTTTTGCTATTCAGTTTTCGGTTAATATCAGTAAACTGCCACATTTTCAGTGTGAATTGCTTTTCGTGCGTATACAACTGCTCTTACGTAGGTCTAGTAGAAATAGTGTTGGTCTGTTGATTTTCTTGTTTGTAAATTTATGATCTGAAAATATGCATTACTGTTTTTATCTTGTTACTGGCATAAGAATCTCATTTGCTTCAGATGAAACATGGATATTATAGGTAAGAGTTCAGTGACAGTTAGGGTATTGTTGAGATTTCACACTTTCTACACATGCTATTAGTTTCACATGGTTGGTGCTCCACTGTTTTATATTGATGATTTTTTACCTTTGCTCTATTGTAGTTGATCCAGCCTCCTTCTGTTGGCTTTTTTTTTTGGTGTGTGTGTGTGTGTAGGACATAGAACTCGTGCAAGTTCTAGCTCACCATCCCGTCGTCCATATGAAGATCACAGACATGGCTCTGATCTTAATCATTCAGGCGCTCCGTCTCGTGGCCGTGAGTTAAGCAGCAGAAGGGAAGCTTCTGGGAGATACAGAGACTATTCACCACCACATGCTAGAGGAGGAGGAGGACCTGGTGCTCGTCCCCATGGAAGAGGCTTTGATGCTCCTGAACCTACACATGGCTTGAGCAGAAACAACAATTCAAAAGTGCAACCTAGAGATGGAGATTGGTACTGTCTAGATCCACTGTAAGTGTTCTTGGCCATTCTAAGTTTTTAATATACAGAAGTTTCATTGTATCTTATTTATAATTTTTTGGTATGGTTACAGATGCAGGAACCTGAACTTTGCGAGACGAGAGTGCTGCTACAAATGCAAGAAACATCGCTATGCACCTGCAAATAGTCCTCCACCGCCTCGTCTTCTTCCTCCTCCGATGAATCTCTCCCCAAGAAGAGACTTTAATGGCTACAGGTCTCCGCCACGTGGCTGGCCCCGAGACTACCCTCCACCAAGACTTGACCATCCCACACTGAGAGACAGAGACAGAGAACGAAGCCGTTTGCATTACTCAGACCATGACTACCTTCCTCCTAGCAGAAGAATAGTATCTGACTGGATCCATCCCGAGCCGCTACCGAAACCTCATTACGAGAGACCTCTCAGTCCACCTCGTGGTGGCAGCAGATGGGGACGACTTTCGAGAGAGAGGAGCAGATCACCACAATTGAGAGGTGGTCCACCGCCGCCGTTGTTGAGAGATGGTCCACCGCTGCACAGAGATTACCGCCGTGACAGTTACTTTGAGAGAGGAGGACGAGATGATCGGCGTGGCGGCAGAGACAGAATGGGAAACTCTTATTGATGCCAAAACTGTGTATGTTCTTGGAAATCTTGGTTTAGACTTTAGACAGTTGAAAATTTTCCTGGAAATCGATATGACCTTTCTGTATTACCTTAGATTCTTTTGAATGTTAGCAAAAAAATTGTGCCTTTTGTGCAAAATTAACAAAAAGAAGAAAAACGCAATTTTGGTGCTCTTTTGTAGTTAAAGAAAGTTTCGGGACGAAATCAAAACACACTTCTTGTTAAATGGGCCCCTTTCTTTTCTGCTTACAAGACCTGAAGTTGAAGGTGTGTTTTGTAGTCACCACCAGTGGTCTGTCTACGTGTCGGTCTACAATTGGCTAATCTCTAAATACTCGCATTTTGAAGGGCTTTTTCTTCAGATGAAATCCGACGGTGAAAAGACGAACAAAACCTAAAGCTTTTACGAATATAAATCGTTGGATCACCGTTTTCAACAGGATCCGTACGATCAGATTGCCACGCAAATCCAACCGTCCAATATAATCCAGAAAAATTGAAATTTCAAAACATGTTAGAGAGAGGGAGGAGGAGAGATGCTGTGGAAGAAGAAGAACAAAACCGAAAGTTTTATTTGCTTTTAATTTTGTTTCCGCTGTTTTTAAAAATTTACCCCAATTCCTTCTTCTTCATCGTCTTCGTCTTCTACAGCTAAAACCCAATAGAACCCTAATTCCCCCATCTCTCTCTTAAAGCTTATCTCTTTCTCTCTCTATATACACGCGGATCAAATTCAAAGTCCCGTTTGAGCTTTAACAGCCGCCGAATCGGTTGTGATTTTTTTTCTTTTCGCGCTCCGGAGAGATTCGGATCTGGATTTTGTGTGTGTGTTTCTTCAGCTGATTTGTGTAATTTCTCCTTTCTCGAGTGTGTGATTTTTTTTCGGGGGAAGATAGAAAAAGGAAATTTTCTGGGTTCTTTGAAAAAAGCTCGAGATTCGAAAATTTTCATAGATGGGTGAGGGCGGCGGAGAAGGCGAATTCCCGCCAAAAAAGGACGGTGTTGAAGAAGAATCTGGTTTTCCGGCTAAGACGCCAGCGCGGCAGCTCGACTTCACTGGTGCCTCCGATGGACATTCACTGTCTAAAGCTACGACTGCGGCTCCTACCGTCGTCACTACGGAGGTGAAGACCACCATCGTCATTCCCTCCGTTCCTTCATCGGCAACGGCAACGCCGACGATGACGACGACGCCTCTGCCTCCTCCGGCGGTGGGAATTAGTCAGGTACGACCGACGGTACTGATGGGTACGCCAAATCCGCCGTCACAAGCACAAATCCTTAACGCGCCAATCAGGATTCCGTAAGTTTTTATCTAATTGAGCTCTTTTGCTTCTTCCTTTTGTTCTAGTTTCGATTTTGGTGAAGAAAAATTCAAACTTTTGGGTCTGTGGAATTGCAGAAAGTTCGATTTGAGATGATGAAAATGGTTTAAAGCTCAAACCTTTTTTGAACTAGTTCAATGGTTTCTGTCTAGGCGTTAAGCTGTTTAGAACTCAGCATTCTTTCACTCACCAGAATCATTGATGAATTTTTCAATTTTTTGGCAGAAAGCTGGAATCTCCGAAAGCAAAACCAAGGCCTGTTGTGGAAGCTAGAGATGGAACCCCTCAAAAGAAAAAGCAGTGTAACTGTAAACACTCTCGCTGCTTGAAACTGTAAGTCTTCCCTTTCATGTTTAGGGATTTGCATGTATAGATGAATTCATTCGAGCTATTGCATGTTCATATCTTTCCTTTGTTCTTCTGTATTCCTTAAGAACCTTAAAGTCTACTTTGTTGAGTTAACCAGTTTTTGTTGTGGTTCATTGTGGATATGTGCATTACAGTTTCTGATTTGGCTTTACTTTTTTCAACCGCCGTAAACTTACATTGTCCACTATCTTGTCAGGTACTGTGAATGCTTTGCATCAGGAACATATTGTGATGGATGTAACTGTGTCAATTGTTTCAACAACGTTGAAAACGAACCTGCAAGACGAGACGCTGTGGAAGCAACTCTGGAGCGGAATCCAAACGCGTTCAGGCCTAAAATTGCTGCAAGTCCACATGGTGTGCAAAACAAAAGGGTACGCGGTTTAACGCATATATCAATGTTACTGATAAAAAAGGAATTACATTTTCAATTGTGGGGAGACTTTTGATGAACTTTGTTTAAACTGTTTTGATTTGTCTTTTAGCCGGAGGAGATTGGTGAAGTTGTGTTGTTAGGGAAACATAACAAAGGATGCCACTGCAAGAAATCCGGATGCCTTAAGAAGTACTGTGAGTGCTTTCAGGCGAACATTCTCTGTTCCGAGAACTGCAAGTGTTTGGATTGCAAAAACTTTGAAGGAAGTGAAGAGAGACTAGCTCTGTTTCACGGTGACCATTCCAACCACATGACGTATCTCCAACTAGCAGCGAATGCAGCCATTACTGGAGCTGTTGGTTCCTCTGGCTTTGCTCCTCCTCCAGCGCCTAAGAGAAGGAAAAGTCAAGAGATTATGTTCAACCAAGCAAACAAAGATCCATCTACTCATAGACTTGCCCACTTTCCACAGGTACAAACTTACCATTTATGGAGCTGATAAGATCTTCTTAATTCCCCTTGCTTGGTGAAATGAGATCTTGTTATTTGTATATAGGGAAATAGTGGAAGAACTAGTGGTGGCCCGACCTCAGGCGCATCTCCGTCACCTGTTTCTCGTCCTGGTGGCAATGCATCGCCAGCTACGTCAAAGATTGTATATAGGTGAAACTCCATGTGTTCACAAGTTATTTTAGCTGGTCCTAGAGCTGCAAAGAAACTGACTTTTATGTTGTATATTTTGTTTTTAAGGTCCCTCTTAGCAGATATAATCCAACCGCCGGATGTGAAAGCACTTTGCTCCGTTTTAGTCACTTCAGCCGGAGAAGCAGCAAAGACAGTAACAGGTGAAAGTTTTGAGTGAACACTTTGTATTGCTGAGGTTTTAGCTCTATGTGTATTATTCACTAATCTTCCTTTTTCAAAAACTTTCTCAGATAAAAGAAATGAAACAGAGAATCGGATGGAAGATCAAACAGAAACTTCTTTAGCTTCTTCTGCACAAGATCACTCCCAAGGCAACAAAGATGCAGCTGATGTTGAGATGGTTGAAGCTGATGAAAATCAAGCTGACAAGTCTGGAGCAGAGGATGCATCTAAAGGAAAACCGCTGTCTCCAGCGACTTTGGCTTTGATGTGCGATGAACAAGACACTATCTTCATGGTCGCAGCAGCTTCACCTAATGGTTCAGTGGACCCTGGTGGCTATGGAGCAAATTCACAGGGCCAGTCAGAGATCTACGCAGAGCAGGAGAGAGTGGTGTTAACCAGATTCAGAGATTGTCTTAGTCGACTTATCTCTTATGCAGAATTAAAAGGTACACATTTTTCATTCACAAGTCATCAACAAAAACTTTCTTCTCTAGAGTTTTAGTTGAGTGTTGTTTGTTTTGCAGAATCAAAGTGTTCAGCTTTGGCAAGAATGCAGCTACAGTCGCCTGCAACCGCAACCGCAACCGCGACTGTGGCTGTGAAAACGGAGAATGGGATTCAGCAAATGCCACCAATGGCGAATGGAGCTTCTCGAACCACTACTCAACCTACACTCAACAAACCACAGCCTATACAGCTGACGACCACAGCAAACACCTCAAACGCAACAAACACAGCAAACAGTCATCAACTTCATAAACCTCCAGCATTGTCAGAGAAGAAAGATCTCTGAATCAGTAAAGTAATATACTCTACTTAGGACAAAAGTAACTTAGCAGAGAGAACATAAACAACAAAGTTGAAATCCACCTCACCACCGCCCTAATCTATGAGGTTAGAGAGAGCGATAGACACAAGTTTTGATTGTGTCGTTAAGCTTTCTTCTCGCTCTTCTCTTTCTTCTCGTCTAGAGTCTCCTCATTGAAGCCACCTTGGCTTGTGTAGATTTTTCAGAGCTTTGTTTTCTTTAGTACACGATTTATTTGTTACCAGTTAGCTTTTTTTTAGTGTGTTTTTTTGTACTTTTTCTGTTGATGGTTTTAGCCTGTGGAACATCCTTACTTATAATGTTTTCTTTCAACTTCTGTAGAATTTGAGAGTAATATATATAATAAAGATCTTTCACTTACAGAAGATGTAATTGTCTCCAATATCTTCTCTAACTAGAACACATAATAACTTTGGGGTTGATACTTGATATAAAGAAGCTTACCAGCTCTTGATATTTCTACTATTTTCTTACATCTTTTCAAAACATAACGAACAATATGAGAATTGAGAATGTCAGGTATGTCACTGCAAACATATTTCTTTAGAACATAAAAAATATTATTTCAGTGAACTGTTTTAAAACAAACACCTTAGTAGCATTTTATCTCTGAAACAAACTAGAGAGACTGATTTATTCTTAGTTAGTGACTAAACCACCTTCAGCCTCTCTCACTCTTCTGCATAAACGTGTACATACGAATCTTTCAAGCTCCCTTGTTTTATGAATTCACAATCGAGACCTGGATGATTTCGGTTCACTCTGCAGCCAAAAACCATAGATTTCATCATCAATTAGAGCGCAGAAGATCGAAGAAAAATGATTAAATTCAACGATCACCAGACTAATATACTGTATTCACCCCAAAATATTAAAGAAAGTTGAGAGACTTTACCAAAAGCATTCCATTCATTGCCCTTTCCTCCAGATACCTCGAAGGTTTGAAAAAGCCACCATAAGTCTCAGACAATCTCTTAAGCCTTTCATATATGTACTTTGGTCCCACCGTATCTGCCCAGAAAACAATTCCTCCGCTGCAACAGGTAACAAAAATGCTTACTAAAAGAAATGATCATCACCTATATTTTATAGTGACATGCAAAAGGACAAAGTTTGTGGACATAAGAGTAACTTCTTAGTTAGTAGATGACCAGAAGAGACTTAAACGGAAGTGATGAATTATACGGTTAGAGCAGAAGCATTTCTTTAAGGAGATTATGACTTAGAAACCTCACCGGTAAGAGGGAAAGCTCATTCCAAGGACAGATGCAATGTCCAAGTCTGCGGCTCTGATCACAACTCCTTCATCTAGGACACGGCATGCCTCGTTGACCACAGGGAACAATATCATCTCTACAATCTCTTTATCAGTTACTGATAGAGGCTGCAACAGAAGGACAAGGCTACATTAGATTAAGAAATACCAAACAGCAGTAGTACTACAATCTCTTCTGTTTTTTTACCTTCCCACCAGGCATGATATTGGTAAGTTTCCTCGATTCCTCAACAACTGAAAGCACTGATGAATCTGGTTTTGGCTTGCTTCCCTTCTCGTAAATATAGTATCCTCTTCCACTGATTTTTCCTAAAGCCACAAAATGTTAAAAGTGGGCAAGTCACAGATGAGGGATTTACAAAGGCAAGAGAAACAACAACATACCATTTCGCCCGCTCTTAAGCAGAAGCTCAGTCAATGGAGAGCTGAACATGCGGTCACCATAGACCTTGTCATATATGTGCTTAACCGCTATTCCAATCCCATGTCCAGCCAAATCACCAAGCCTGAGAAGTGAGTCATCCCCAAAAAAAAACTTTCTTCAGTTGCTGAGATACCAATGCAGTAACACAAAGTGTAAGGTAACAAAACAAGGAGAGAAAGAGAAAGAGAGAGAGAGATTTACTGGAAAGGACCCAAAGGCAAGCCAAAAGAGGTAATAACGCTGTCAACTCTGAACAGGTCAACACCAAGATTGACCAGCATATGTGCAGCTTGTGTATACGGAAAGAATGTCCTATTCACTGCAAACCCTATGCAGTTTCCAACCACCACAGGAACTTTCTTTATGGCCTTCCCAAGTGTCATGAGATCCAGAATCACCTGAGCGGAAGTATTCTTTGAACGAACAATCTCGAGAAGGGGCATTATATGCGCAGGGCTATAAAAGTAGACAAACTTTCGTAAGTTACTTCAAAAAAAATTGAAAAGCATAAAAATGTCTGACACATTGAAAACGCAGAATGACCTGAAGAAATGTGCACCAACAATGCGATCTTTTGAGTTAGTCTTTTCCCCAATTACGTCGAGGTCAATCGTAGATGTGTTGCTCGCCAAAATGCAATGTGGTGGACATACCTCTTCGATTTCTTTGAATATCTTTTGCTTCAACTGAATGTTTTCAATCACTGCCTGAAAAATGATACCAGGAGCAAGGCCTTATAGTCAGGAGAGATATACATATATTAGCTGACCCTCTATTAACTATCCAGACTTTGATATACTTGAAACCAAAGAGAAGGACATATAACTGAAATTGAAAGCAGACCTCAATGACCATGTCCACATCTTTGAACTCTGTGTAATCGAGTACTCCCTTGAGCAAAGAGAAGGCCTTGCCTGCTCTGTCTTGTGTCAGTTTTCCTCTAGATACCATGCTTTTCAGATTTGCTGTCACAAGAAAAATAATTTTTTTTGAATGGATATGTTTTGTTAAGTATCAGCTGGATATATTCTGGGTAAGGATAATATACCTTCAACTGATTTTGTTCCTTTGAGAAGGTATTCTGGGTTAATTTCTTTAAGCACAACTCTTGTATTGCTTAGAAGCAGAGCAGTAGCGATACCAGAACCCATCAGACCTCCACCAATAACTGCAACTTTTTTGATCGCTCTAGGCTTCAATCCAGCGTCAGTTACATTAGGCACCTGAAAAGTTTTTAAAAAGATGCTCAAGATGAACGTTCAATGTGGAAACTAGAAGTACTAGGAGCAACAAACGTTTCCTAATCCCAAAGAAAATACAGCTTTAGGGGAATTAAAAGGTTAGGCCAATCTCACCTTTGATGTTGCACGCTGTGCAAAGAACACATGAACAAGAGCCTTTGCTGTGTCTGACAGTACTAATTGCTTAAAAACTTCTGCTTCCTGCATAATGAATCAATGAGTTAAGGTACGTAGCCAAGTAGGAAATTAATCAATGTAACTAATGGATACAATCTTACGAAATAAAGCAGTCATGCTTTCCTAATCAACAAAGAATAGGATGTCCAGTGAGCACCACTGAGACCTATTGAATAAATCCAGGAAACGAGAGTAATACAGTAAAACAAAAATTTTTACCTTAAGAACTCCACTATATCCTCCATGGATGACTCCTTCTTCAATCACCTCAATGCAAGCGTGGTGCTGAGGCATATTTGGGGCTATCTTCTTAGCTAGCTGTCTTGAATTCTTCAATATAGCACGAGCTTCAGATAAAGAACCAATTTTGTCTGTCCTGTGCAGTGATCTCAAAAAGGGTTTACGTCCAGCTAAAATGTCTAGCGCCCACTTTCTGGACGTGCTCAACAAATCTCCAGACGGCACCAAAGCATCAATGAGACCAAGTTTATGCCCTTCCTCTGACAAGATCGACTTCGAAAGCTACAAAAAATACCGTATATAGTTTAACAAAATTTTCAACCAAGCAAATCAGAATTTAGCAAACTGTTGATAACTGAGGAAAACGTCATCCGTACCAATATCATATCAGTTGCTTTTGCAAGCCCTACTAATCTTGGAAGACGTTGGGTTCCTTCATACACACAATTAGCTTCATTACTTACCAAGCACTATCGAAAAGTTAGCCAACAAATTAGATGAATAAACAAAGACGTACCACCAAAACCTGGAATAACTCCAAGTGTAAGTTCTGGTAAGCCTAGTTGAGCTTTCGGAGCAGCTACTCGGGCATGACACGCCTAAAGAATATTGAGGGACAGACAAATCAACACACCAAAAGATATTTTTAAAATCCCAAAGAAGAAGATAAACTTAAAAATCCAACACACCATTGCCAGTTCTAAACCACCACCAAGAGCTAATCCTTCAACTGCAGCAACAACCGGCTTCCTAGAGTCTTTAATAAACCACAAAACAGTATCAACATCACTGTTATGCCAATATATCAACTGTAAAAGAAAAAGTAATACTAAAACTAAAAGTCTAAAACTAAATACCTTCCATGAGGTTGCACACAAGTTCAACGGACACTTCAGGCATAAGCGATAAGTCCCCTGCCAAGAAACGAGATTGTCAAAAACTCATGACACAATAATGCTTTACTATATACAATACGTACAAAAGAAGAAACTTTACCAGTCTTATGAACTTGCTGGAAGACATTGATGTCGAAACCACCCGAAAATCTTCCACCGTTCCCTGAAATGATCAAATTATTCAAAGACCTTTAAGCAACCAAAACTTGGATAAGAAAAAGGATTGAAATTTCAAACACTTGAATATATTAATTTAGCTAAATTTTCACAATCTTCAGCTTATAGATGAACACAGGAGACGACACAAACTCAATGAGCGACAGTAAAATCGATTCTCAAACACGTTCGTAGAGATTAACGCTACAACATCGAATAAAAACAAGAGATTTCTGAACAAAAGTAACTCAATTTTTGAATTGCTTACCGATCAACACGATCGCCTTAACATCACTCCTCTGATTCGCGTCTTGAAACTTCTCCTTCAGCCCAGCAATAACTGTAGAAGTCAACCAGCAAATGATAAAAAATCAGCTCAAAAGAAGCAATTTCCGGATAAAATCGTGATGATCAAAGTATTAAGCTTTACTTGGACTGGCCAAGGAGTTAACAGGAGGATTGGAAATGGTGATCACAGCAACACCATCGTTTCCAACTTCCATCGTCACTCCAATCTTCTTCGCCATAACTTCACAACCCCCAAGTTTTTATTTTTTCTTTTTCTCCCAGAAAGTTTGGTGAGATCGAAAAAGGTTCGGCGACCGAAAATGGATAAAGATCTGGTTTTTGATAAAAATTGAGGCTTTATGATAAAACAGGCGTTTACGATTTGAAAGCTGAAATTGATTTATTTCCTTGCTTGTCGTTTCGTCGTTTTCCTCACAAGGAACCAAATCTACTCACTAATTACGTACAGAGGCCGAATCGATTTATATTGGGGGCCTTGTTCAGCTAAACTAATATTGGACCCTATTCAATAAAGTAAACAGAACATTTTTACCGCCAATTTGTTAAAAAGAATTTAACTGAAATATTGTCTAATCTACACAAGGTAAAAATGAAGATTATAGGTTATAAACACAATATTATATAAATGTTATGTAATTTATATCACCAATAGAAAAGTTTGGCGAAGCAGACTGTTAAAAGATAAACTGGTTGTCTATCAAAAAACTTATAAACTATACTTTTTATATTAGTAAGAATTTGATAATCTTCAACCATCCACCACTATATACTGTATTCATCTTTATCTTTTGATTAAACGACAAACTAAGGAAATTGTGTTTTAAACAACAACCATCACTCTCCTTTAATAAGAGTGGACAAAGAACTCCCAATTTTTTACTCATATAAATTAAGGATATTGTGTTTTAAATTATAATATAGCATCCTTATTTTTTTTAAATTAATCTCTCTAACAGTTATAAGTACAACCACAATTGGATGGTCCAGGTGTTTTGGGATCGTCAAAACATTTTCCAACTCCGTTTAATTGTGCAAGACAGTGTGTACGACAGTCGCTAAGTTCACAGAAATTGGGTGCATCAATAGTTTTTTGACATCGCTTTTGTCCCACGCCATTTTCTATCATTGAAAAAGCTACAAATATAAAACCAAAAAAATGTTATGATCAAGATTGGAGTTAAGAGTATATATTATCCGTCTGAATAAAAGTTAAATAGTATTATTCTAATTTTCTACATATTTGATCCAGCATTATCCCCTACTTCCAATAACGTTATTCTCTTTTCTCTTTTCTGATCTATAAACAATTTTACAAACAATGTTAAATTTGCAGAGATTTTTTCTTCTTCAAAGTTAGGGGATTTTTTTATATAAATCTACGCATACTACTCCATTAGCACGCCTGGAGAAAATATGATTCGAAGAAGTTTATTTTACGATCATCACGCATGTTTAATTTACAAGTAGTGGTTTTAGATTTTATATATGAGTTTCAAAACAAAGCAAGGAAAATATATATTTACCATAAAGATTGGTTGTAAAGAAAGACAAGAAAACACATGAAAAATAAACAAAGTAGCAGACTTCATCACTATTTTAGTATTTTGTGTACTATTGTTTTTTTTTATCTTTGAATATGTCTTTTGATGTCTTTTTTCTTATGAATCATCTTTGGATGACTTATTTGAGCTATTATATATATATATATATATATATATATATATATATATATATATATACATGAAGACAACAAAAAATGGTGTATTTATGTTTAGAAAATTAACAAAACAATTAGTGCATGTATGTTTCTGTATAACCTAACACATAAAAAGTGTGTATTCACAAAACACATAAAAGTGCTGTGCTTATGTTTTACGTGTAGAAGAGCCAAACAAGAAGTAATGAATACTATGCGTACTGTTAAATTATGCGTTTAGTTAAAAGATACAAGAAAAAATAACACTTTCAAACAACAAAGAAGTGTTCATGTGAATATGTATCATGTCCTTGTTTCTACACAAACGTTTGGATCGTTTGGTCGTCACGAGATGAAAAGCTTATAAATCGGAAAAAGCGTCACTCGATGGAGATCGAGACTTGCATCGGTTTAAAATGAAAAGAAGCAAGCCTACCTTGGCGATAGAGACGAGCAGCTTGAGACTTATACTATGACAACAAAAATCAAGGCTAAAACGACACATATTGTAAAACGGACGAAAATATAGATTAAGAAAATTGCGTTTTAATTTACATTATAATATTATCATTATTTTTCTAAATGAAGATATCTAACAATTATAAGTACAACCACAATTGGATGGTCCAGGTGTTTTGGCATCGTCAACACATTTTCCAACTCCGTTATAGAGCGCTAAGCAGTCCCTACGACAGTCGGGGAGTACACAGTAATCGGGTGGAATAACCTTTCCACAGTACTTTCGCTTTTGCCCCACACCATTTTCTATCATTGAAAAAGCTACAAATATATAACCAAAAAAAAAAAGTTATGAACTTATGATCAAGATTGGAGTTAAGTCAGATAAGACTTTGTGTATTACTTATCTGTTTGAACAAAAGATAAATACTATTGTTATTCTAACTTTTTACATATTTAATCCAGGATTATCCTCTATGAACAATTTCACAAACAATGTTAAATTTGTTGATATTTTTCTTCTCAAAATCGAACGAAAAGCTTTATATCTGAATATGATTCGAGGAAGTTTATTTTATGAGCACGCTATACTGTTTACAGGTGTTCAAATCAAAGCAAGAGATTTATTTACCATATAGATTGTTTGTAGAGAAAGACAATAAAACACATGAAACAATAAACAAAGTAGCAGACTTCATCACTGTTTTCTGCAAATTAATATTATTGGTTATTTTTATCTTTGAATGACTTAACTTGAGGTATTATATACATATAGACCAAAAAACTGGTGTGTTTTACGTGTAGATCATTAACAAAACAATCAATGCATGTATGTGTAGAGTATACATAATCAAACACATAAAAAGTGTGTATTCACAATACACATAAAAGTGTACAATTCACAAAACACAAAACAAGGCTAAAACCTAACACCTACCGTGTACATTTTTACACACACGAATTTTATCGTATCAATTTCAAACAGATCAAAATAGAACCAACCCAAATCAAAAACTATAAATATCCACCACCAGTTTAACTACATATCCTTATATAGCTGTATACCGCAGTAAAAATGTAAAGTAATTTTAAGTTGAAGCTTAATATACTATACTCACAAGAGAAGAAAGAAAGAGGACAATATAGCATTAAAAGTGGCGAAATAACTGAGCTATAAAAAGGCCAAACGAACAACTAATTTTTAGCTCGCTTCAGGCTGTCACCCTTTGATCGAATAATATTGCTTCTGAGTACTGATCCAAATCTCGTGATCAGTTATTTTCTAGTGACCATTTATGTTCCACTTGTTTTGGGGTGTACAGGATCAGTATAAGCTTTCTCAACTCTTTTAACAACATTTGTGACCATATGGATCGTATATACAAGTCTGTGCATGTGCTCGATGTGTCAAAAACGAGACAATTTTCTCGAATCTTTCTGAAATCTATACAATATAGTATTAAGAGGTCAAATAACTGAACTATAAAAAGGCCAAACGAACAACTAACTTTTTTGCTCGCTCATCCTTTGATAGAATAATATTGCTTCTGAGTACTGATCCAGAGATCTCGTGATCATTTATTTTCCAGTGACCATATATGTTCCACTTATTATGGGGTGTACAGTCAGTATCAATTATGAATAATTTTGTTATCTCAACTCTTTGAACAACTTTTTGACCATATGAATCGTATATCCAAGCCCGTACGTGTGCTCAATTCCTCAATGAGTCAAAAACGAGACCGTTGTTCCGAATCTTTCTGAGATCTATACAAAATTAGGGATTCCTCATTCAGCAATTTAAACTGTGAAGGAAAAACAAACTTAAAGAAGCCTATCTACAATGCTCTATTTCCGTATTGTTCTACTGTGGTTTTTGTTATATAATCTACAAAAGGTTATAATCTTATATACTCCAAAGCAAATAAGTTAGTGGATATTTCAAAATAATTCACTACTTTGAGAAAGAGGCATATACCGAATATTGCAGAACTAACTCTTGCCTCCGACCTAAAACACATCTAAATACTGTATTCTTTTTCTCATCTTCAATTCCATTAATAAAAAATTCTTAAGAAACATGCACCTAATCACCAATTAACTACTTGTATACGAGAGTTCTCGATAGTAAGGTTATAGTTCCCCTTGAGACTTTAATTTTTGTACCAATATCACCTCATCCTTTTTCGAGAAACATTCATTTATGGAATTTTGTTTTTTAATCTCCATATTACTCCTTTTATCTTCCAACCTGTCTATTCAATGCTCTATTAACTTAGGCATTTGGGGGTTGCCACATGCTCTGCATGCTCTCATTTACTGCACTTGTATTGTGTATATATTTGTATGTATGTGTGTATAAACTACAGTATTGTTTAAACTCGCATATTTCACTTTTTCTTTCTACATTTTGAGTCCAAAGTTATAAACAATTTGATGTTAGTTCTAATCTTCGTACGAGTAATGAATGACTTTAAATACGCTTTAACTTTTTTTTTTAATTGAGCAATACGTTTAACTGTATATCAAAATAGTAAAATACAAAAACAAATGCGAGTAAATGAGAAAATCTGGTGAATAAAATGTCATGATCGTCGAATTTTTTTCCCTAACAGAAAATAAAAGTTAAACGAAGAATTTCATTTAGCATCTCACAATTGTACTCTTGCTATATGTTTAACCTAAAAAGGAACTAAAACGTAATACTGTAAATGCATATGTACTCTAACCCGACAATCATTCATTGGCATATATCATTTGAATATTACCTGTCAATAATTTTCATTGCCATCATATATCGAGTCTCTTGGTCTTGGAGGTGATTAACAGCATAATAATGGATTTTACTTTTACTGTATATACAATAGAACTAGAATGAAGCTATATACGTGGATGGATCTGCATCGAACATATAAGAGATGAGATGGTCCAACATTCATTTACAGCTTATCTCCATCTGTCACTTTATAACCCTAATATTAACCCTTTCATTCTCCTATATAAACCTCCTAATGTTTTATGCATTCTTCACTACTCTCTCCACCTAACAAACAATCTTTATAGCTAAGTTACAAAAAGAGTGACAAGATATGGCAATTAGGTGTTTAGCCGTGTTCCTCGTTGCTCTCATGGTGGCTCAAGCCGTCAGTGCAACCAGACCTGCCCCTGTCAAGAATGTCGGAGCTGGTCTTGACGACCAAAAGAACTTTGTGGCGTTTGCTGGCGTCGGTGGAGCTGCTGGAGTTGGTGGAGTCGGTGGTGTTGGAGCTGGTCTTGGTGGTGTTGCAGGTGGAGTCGGTGGTGTCGCCGGAGTTATCCCCATAGGTGGCGTAGCCGGAGGAATTGGTGGTCTAGGGGGTGGTGTAGGGGGACTAGGCGGTGGTTCAGGTATCGGTGGTGGAGTAGGTGGAATTGGTGGTGGTTCAGGTCTCGGTGGAGGAATAGGCGGCATTGGTGGTGGTGTAGGTGGACTCGGCGGTGCAGGCGGTATAGGCGGTGTTGGTGGTTTGGGTGGAATTGGCGGTGGAAGCGATTGCGGAGGCCTTCTTCACCCTTAATGATTCAACCTTTTTTTTCCTCTCTATAAACCAAAGATCGATCGAAGGGTTCATAATTATCAGTTTCTTTCATGTTTTAAGTTTTTGTTCTTCTGATGTTTATGTTTAAGTCTTTGTGTTTTTTTCTCTATATGTTTGTCTTTTTCATGCTCTTTGTCATTAATTACTTGTGATAAACCTTGTGCTATCAATAAATAGTGTATTTTTTTGTGTGGCAAACAGTTGTTACTTGCTTGTGTTCCAAGATATTGATATAATTTGTAAAGGTTGACCAAACAATAAGAAAACTTGTTCCATCGTGCAATTCCAAAGATTTTTGTTGTCAACCATTATTAACGAGATTCAGTTTACAAAACTAAGCATATACGTCAAAGCGTTATACTCAACCAGTTTACCCGTTGCCAACAGTCGGCAGCTTTTAATATAATATCGTTAAATCTTTTTAAAACAATATTGCTCAAAATTTAGCCGGGTAAGATTAAAAAAAATGTATTGTATAAACAGTTTTGAAACACTGCTGTTCAAATATCATGCAAATTATAAGAGACTCTCGAATATCGTCGGTGGAGTATCTTACTATGTGATGAATGATGTACATGCATCGGTTTTGCTGTTTTGTAAGAGAGTCTATACGGTGGGAGACTGAAGCTCAAACTATTCATGGTCATGGGTTTCATTTATTACATATATGTAGATACATCTATATATAACCATTGAATTTAGTTCCAAGAAGGAAGAAATAAAAAAATTGTTACAATCACCAATAGGTAAATGCGTAGTTCCAAGAAGAAGGCTCTTTTGAAGCTGAAGTTAGCTCTAGAATACATTTACCGATGTATCTGTACGTAGTTAATGGTTTGATAAATATGTTGTTACTCTGAAAGAAAATGTACCACAATTTAATTTACATAAATTTTCAGAAACAGAGTAAAACCATACTTTCCCCCATGTGAAATTGTAAATTCTGCAATCAAAATTAGTCAAGCCTAAATTCTCTAATTTCTTTATTTTACCGTCTTAACATATCCTTTAAATTCTAAACAACATTGTTGACCGGCTTAACCGCTTAAACAGCCGCGGCGGAACGTAAGTTACCGCGTCACCACCAGTCACTTTCTGAATGTAAATAAACTTAAATTTGATATCAGAGCGTTTGGTTAAAGCATTTACATTGGCAATAACTATCTTCACCGGTCACATTTTTTCGTATGTGTGGTCTCTCGGCCTTTAAAAGGACCCAGCATATCTCCCAGATTCTCGGCAAGGCAACAACCATTATTAACTCAAATCTTATCTACTTTATTTTTCTTCTTTTAATCAAAATTACCCTTATTGATTACTAGGGCTAGGATATGGCGAAGTGGTTTTTCACTCTCTTCGTGGTTTTTGCCCTAGCCTCAACTTTTGCTTGTGGCGCAAGAAACGTTCCAGGAGGGCTCTCTGACCAGAAGAACTACCTCGGATACGGTGGTGGGTATTCCGGCATAGGAGACAATGGTTTACCTTTCGGTGGCGTCGGTGGAGGTGTGTCTGGTCCCGGTGGTAATCTCGGTTTTGGTGGACTTGGTGGTGCTGGTGGCGGCTTGGGCGGTGGCTTAGGAAATGGTTTGGGTGGTGGCTTAGGAAATGGGTTAGGCGGTGGCGTTGGTACCGGAGTCGGTGGAGGAAGTACTGGAGGTGTTCATTTCCCTTGAGTTGGTTATTTGGGCTTAAGGTTTCGTTACGGTCCTTGAGCTAGGTCTAGTTTAAAATGATGTCAGAGTAATAATTATAATCATGTCTTTTTAAGGTTTTGGACTTTGAATTTTCATTAGTTTGTTAACGTTCGTCTTAATTTACTATGGTGTTCTTAGAATCAGACTCGTGTCCTGTCGTGTCATGGCTAAGTCCATTTACAAAATATATATTGAACCATTTTCGAGTGTTTCACATATTAACGAGTTAATGTCAACATCTATGAGTACTTTTATTATATAAGCTCCATTTATTGGCTTTGTAGTATAATCTCTCAATCTAGCTATAAATATGTTTGGGACGTACCTCGAGTTAATTATAAAAAAAGATGTACGTCTTAATACTTATCAAACAACACTTAAGTAGATGTGCAATTTTTAACTTAAATTTTTCCGGTTAAAACAATTCGTGAGTATTAAATGTAAACAGGTGTTGGGGTAGTTGGGTGATATTGAAGTCGAAATAAGTGAGTTCCAAGTTAGAAGGGAACCTGACAAAATCAAACAGTCAAACTTATTACGGAACTGACATTGCAGTTCAAAATACTGTTTTTTTTTTTTTTTTTAAATTTAAAATACTGTTTGCGGGTTGGTTTGTGCATTTACTTCTTCTCTTCTCTCTCTCTTTTTTTTTTCTTAATTGAAATCAGTTTACTACTGTCTTCAGCTTCCACGTAATTTGAGATTTTATTTTTAGAACAAACTAGTTTTTATATTATATTAAAATATATATAGAGAATCGTTAAACATGCTTTTCTGGTTAATTTAGTACAATATTCCTTGTAGAAAAAAACGTATATTATTTGTTCAACTATAAGTCGAAACGAATTAGCATCAAAATAATTGAACTAAAAATTTATCTTAAAATGATATATTTATTTTTAAATATAGTTTGCAACATGTTTTACTGAAAACATTATAACAGTCGATCAATGTCTTAAACAGATCAACATAATATTATACAAAACAAACACATGACAAATAAGTGGCAGAATTCACTTTCCTGCATTCTCCACCTATGAATGGTATATCTTTGCAATGCTGATTGCAGTCGGGAAACTTCTAGCATGGACCCTCCACAATAAACCAACGGCGGCTATCTTCCGCTTTTGCAGATTCTGGAATTTATATATTTAAAAAAAAAATAGTGCGATATTCAAATACTATAAAGAATCTTTAGACAGGCATCTATCTCCATCACTAAAAATTGCAATATCTCAATATGTAACAGAAAAACGAATATGATCTAAACAGCTATATAAGTATAAACGAATTGATATATATATATATATATGTGTGTGTATATTTATCAATAAAAATATTTCGTACTTGGGATAAAGAGAACATCCAAGCATAAGAACACAAGACAAACGAAAATATTTGCTTGATGAAGCCATTTTATATTGTTACTGCATGCAATATTGTGTAACAAGGAAATGTTTGGAAAAATTAACAGATAATATATATATATATATATTATAAAATGTTTGTCGGCATACCTGGGGTGAGGAGAACAGCCAGACATAAGAACACAAGGAAGAAGCATTTGCCCGATGAAGCCATTTTCTTGTTTTGTTTTGTTTATTTCTATAATATATGCTGATCTATACTCGAAAGCCTTCACATATATACATATATATATAGAGAAATATGATGGGTCCTATAAATAACTTCCTAAGTAAAATTGGATTCTTCGAAAAAAAAAAAAAAGTAAAATTGGATTCACTTCTAATTATATATTATTGTTTATATAATGTAGGATATGTTACTATATGAGGATGGATTTTCAGTTGACTTTCAGATATGATATGAACGAAGTTTTATTTTCATTCATATCTGAAAGTTTTAATTATGATCTAGGATAGGATGGATTTACTATTGACTTTAGATTTTTTTTGGTAACAACTTTAAGAACTTTTGGCTTTAGACTTTAATATTGATAAATACACTGTTAAGATTTACATTAAAATATAAAAACTAGGATCTAGGATAGGAAGGATTTACTGTTGACTTTAGGTTTTTTTTGGTAATAACTTTAGAAATTTTGGCTTCAGACTTTAATTTTGATAAATAAACTGTTAAGAATTTTACTTTAAAATATAAAAAGTTGTGATTTTAGAAAAACATAAAAAAAAAAGTGGTTACTTTGGATTTTGAGTAACTGTAGGGGTTTTGAGTGTTTTTAAGACAATTAAAGTAGGTTTGGTAAATTTTTTACTTTAGAAACTTTTACTCCATCTGTTCTAGAATATAGGATGTTTAAGAATATTCACATAAATTAAGAAATATTTAGTGTTTAGCAATTAATGTATTACTTTTAAAAACAAATCATTTTTAATAATATTAAAACTTCAAAAATTCAATTACTTTTAATTAATAGTTCTTGAAATTTGTAAAAGTACCTTAAATTTTTTAAAAATCCTTATATTCTGGAATAAGAAAAAAAATCATAGAACATCTGTAGATTGGAAACAAAAATTTAAAGTGCCAATGTCAAGCACCCCCAAATCTGTAGATTGGAAACAAAATTTTATTCCAGATTTACAGACTCAAATGAGCTTTGATGCTATTTTGTACTCCTAGTGGCTTAGACTCTTAGTGGTCGTTAGATATGAGCTAGTTTGTTTCACTCGTAAACTAAAATACAATTTCCTGCCTCTAGATCGGTTTAGTTCACACTCTTTTTAATTAATACATTTTCATAGTTTTTCCATGACTTGTGATTCCAGTTTTCTTTATTGTTATAGTACTTAAAATACCGATTGGCGTTAAGCATAAATTAAATTGGAATTAAGGCTGGTCCGGTTAAATTAACCAAAATGGTCTAAAAGAACAGATACAAAGTTCTTGACAAAAGCAAACAACGATGACGGATCGTGAACAAGGGAACCATTTATTGGGGCATATAGGAATTCGATCCATTTTTGAAACAAGTAATAAGGATTTTTATCGATCTTGTCTTGATCTCAATTGCTTATAGACTGTAAAAGACAATGATTTGTTTCTTTGTAACCCATCTAACAGGGATTTTAGATTGATCTATCATCACTGGGATTCTTCATATTGTCTAATTCATTGTTGGAGTATAAGATTGATTTCACAGAGTTTGCTCGAGTAAAACCCAAATCAGGATATGTTTTGTTGGTCAACCCGATCAAAATACCGATTAGTATATAGTGAACAATACCCAAATCAGAATGAATGTTACATGCGATTAAAAAAGGAACTATTTGTTTTGTTTGACTTGTTTTTGACAACTGCATGATTAGTATACTTATAATAATTATTATGTGGTCAAGTATATATAATTATGCGTCTAGCTATATATAGTTATAAACCAATACTATTTGGACTTGGTTTATAAATTGAATTATTCTTAAATGTCATAAAACAAAGTCAAAGTTTTCAATATACGGACAAATATAGTCTCGCAACGTTCGTATTTTGTGTGTATATATACACACACACAGACACACATTGGTACTAAGTGCGAAAAAGAAGAACACGATGGGAAGATATTTACTAAGTTTTGTTCTTATCCTCCTTTCCTTTGATTCCATAAACTCTTACTTGTTGCCACCTCTCGGCAGAAAATTTAATGTCGAAATTGTAAACCAGCTTGGGTTTCACAAGAACATGAAGGTTCACTGCCAAAGCAAAACTCACGATTTTCCGATTACATACCTTAACATCGGCGATAGTTTTAAGTTTGGGTTTACTATTAATCCAAAAACTCAGTATTGGTGCAATTTATGGCAGGTAAGTAGGAGTAGTACTTTTTCAAGTTTTTATAAATTTCTACGTATTTTAATGTATATGCATTATGATGTACTAGAAAATCACTCAAATCTGTATTTTATATTTCAGGGACCAAATTACAAACACCATGTGGTTTTCGATGCGTTTGTTCCGGGCAAAGATTTTATAGAAGGTACATGTACTGGGATGCATCCTAATGTATGTAGGTGGACCGCGCAAGAAGAGGGAATATATGTCCGCAACAAACAGTTTGCTGGAGAATATTTCATGTATAAATGGGATGCTCCATCAAATCTACGAGAAATCGCTCCAATGGGTGAACCTACGAGAGAATCTTAAATTGATGTTTAGATTTAATAAAACTATATAAATGATGATATAGGGGAACGATAATTAATAAAGATTATGTGATGGTTTCAATTTAACTAAACTACACATCCACATTTTCGTATCACCCAAACGTTTCGTGTTTATCTTTTTGGTAATAAGACATTTATATCTATCTTCACCCTGCCTTGTTTTGGACGACCCAATACACGAAGGAAATATTGTGCCATTTGACTTGGACAAATACGAACAACACAAAACAGTTCGATCCATTTGACTTGCTTATGGACTGTAAAAGACAATTGTTTGTTTCTTTGTAACCCACCTGACAGGGGTTTTAGATTGATCTATAAGTGGGATTCACAGTGATCTAATTTTATTGTTGAAATCGAGAAATCATTTACGTTTTGTTCGAGTATAAGCTGTCTAACCCCAAAATAAAAATGATGTCGAAGATTGATTCTACACAGTTTGCTCGAGTTAAACACAAATAAGGATATATTTTGTTGGTCAAACTGATAAAAATACCGATTAGCATAAAACGAACAATTTTTTTTGTTTCACTATTTTTAGACAACTGATTTAGTACTAATTAGTAACTGGTCAAGTATAATATAATTTATGTGTCTATATATATACCGATACCATTTGGACTTGGTTTATACATTGAATTATCCTTAAATCCCACAAAGCAGAGTCAAAGTCTTCAATATATACTTGGTAAAAAAAAGTCTTCAATATATACGTGGACAAATAGTCTCGTTCGTATTTTGTGTGTATATAACTATATATACACACATATATAGGGAAATGTAGCACGTTTAGTTTTCGTACTCGTTACAAGTTTTTCTTTTTTTATTACATCTTAAAGAAAAACAAAATGAGGAAGTATTTTCTATGTTTTTTTCTTACCCTCATTTCCTTTGATTCTATAAACTCTTTCAAGTTCAAGGCACCTTTCTTCAGAAGATTCAATGTCGAAATTGTAAACGCGCGATCTTAGGTTTCACAAGAAACTGAGTGTTCATTGCAAAAGCAAAACTCACGACTTTTCGATGATACATCTTAATATCGGAGAAAGTTTTCAATTTAAATTTACTATTTTCCCAAAAAGTTTGTATTGGTGCAAATTACGACAGGTAAGAAATCTGTTTCTTTTTGTTTTTGGGAAAACAAACACACGTAATACATATTTGGTTGTACTAGAGAAGTGATCAACTTATTTTATGTTTCAGGGACCACATTACAAACACCATGTCGTTTTTAAAGCGTTTGTATCGGATCATGATTTTATATACAATACATGAAGTGGAATGCATCCGAATATATGTACGTGGACCGCAAAAGAAGATGGAATATATGTCCGCTACAACGTATTTGGTAGAGATTATATAATGTATAGATGGGATGCTCCAACAAATTCAGAAGAAATCACTCCAGTGAGTGCACCGATGAGTGAACCTGACAAAACTCTTCAGACTAAATCAATCACGATATACGATTGATCTTTGTATCATCTAAAAGATAACGATGATAAAGATTATTTGGTGGTCTCGATTTACATAAACTCACATGCATGCAAATAAATCATGGGCCTTCTTAGGCCGGGAATTTATATTTGAGATTTTATCGATTTTGAAGCCAGCTTCTGTTTAAGCCCAATGTAGGCCCAAACTTTATATTGAAAATTAAAAAGTAAACTCTGAATAAAAACATTTCTTCTTCCCAAAGCCAAAAATCTCAGTACAAAAACAAACAAAGCTCGACGAAGGAAGAAATCGAGAGAAGCAATCATGGGTCAAGGACCATCCGGAGGTTTGAATCGCCAGGGAGATCGGAAGCCTGATGGCGGCGACAAGAAAGAGAAGAAGTTCGAGCCGGCGGCACCACCAGCTCGTGTAGGGAGAAAGCAGCGGAAGCAGAAAGGGCCTGAGGCGGCGGCGCGGCTTCCGACTGTGACTCCGTCTACTAAGTGCAAGCTCCGGTTGCTGAAATTGGAACGGATCAAGGATTATCTGTTGATGGAGGAAGAGTTTGTGGCGAACCAGGAGCGGCTGAAACCTCAGGAGGAGAAAGCCGAGGAAGATAGATCTAAGGTTGATGACCTCCGTGGGACGCCGATGAGCGTTGGAAATCTGGAAGAGCTGATTGATGAGAATCACGCCATCGTTTCTTCTTCCGTTGGGCCTGAGTACTACGTCGGGATACTGTCGTTCGTCGATAAGGATCAGCTTGAGCCTGGATGCTCGATTTTGATGCACAATAAGGTATGTGGATTAGGTTTTCTTCACTAGGTTAAGATCCTGTTTGGTTAGTTTGATGATTTGGAAGCTGGAATTTTCTAATTAGGGTTCATTGATACTTAGAAAATTTCGAAGATTGACTTGACGAATTATGTAATCTTAGTACTGAGATGTTTCCAATTGGTTTTTGTGCTAGGTTCTCTCTGTTGTTGGGATTCTCCAAGATGAAGTGGATCCAATGGTGTCTGTGATGAAAGTTGAGAAGGCTCCTCTGGAGTCGTATGCTGACATTGGAGGTTTAGAAGCTCAGATTCAGGAGATTAAGGAAGCTGTTGAGCTCCCTCTTACTCATCCCGAGCTGTATGAAGATATTGGTATCAAGCCACCCAAGGGTGTGATCTTGTATGGAGAGCCAGGAACTGGGAAGACACTGCTTGCTAAGGTTTGCCTTTCCACCTATAATCTATCAAGTATAGTATCTCTTAGATGTATAGTTTAGCTTACTCTTTAAAGTTTCATCGATTCAGTAACTCATTGTTCAGTTGAATCTAGACTCATTCGTGAAGTAGCTTTAATCTGATTGCAACAGAGTTGCATTATGTTTTGTGCATGTTCTTACTTTACTTTTGAACACTGTGGGAGTGAGCTCTTATATTTTTGGATATCTTTCAGGCGGTGGCGAATTCTACATCAGCTACTTTCTTGAGAGTTGTTGGTAGTGAGCTGATTCAGAAGTATTTGGGAGATGGTCCCAAGCTTGTGAGGGAGCTTTTCAGAGTTGCCGATGACCTTTCACCGTCAATTGTCTTCATTGACGAGATTGATGCTGTTGGTACCAAGAGGTAAGTCAAGCTAACACACATTCATGATCAGGTCTTTAAGAGATGGTAACTGATTAAAGATTGGAATGAAACAGGTACGATGCTAACTCAGGAGGTGAGCGTGAGATCCAAAGAACTATGTTGGAACTTCTGAACCAGCTCGATGGATTCGATTCAAGAGGAGACGTTAAGGTGATCCTTGCAACAAACAGAATCGAGTCTCTTGACCCGGCACTTCTTCGACCTGGACGTATTGATAGGAAGATCGAGTTCCCTCTTCCAGATATCAAAACTAGAAGACGCATCTTCCAGGTTAGCATAACTAATTCTAATTCTACTGAGAGAATAAATCAATAGCTCTTTTTTCTCAAAAGTTTTCTTGTTCATTGAGCTTACATCATCTCTGTTTCAAATAGATACACACATCGAAGATGACTCTATCGGAAGATGTGAACCTTGAAGAGTTTGTGATGACGAAAGATGAGTTCTCGGGTGCTGATATAAAGGCTATATGCACTGAGGCTGGTCTACTTGCTCTCAGGGAGCGTCGTATGAAGGTAACAAAGACTCTGAACCATTTTGCTCAATCCATACAAACACACACCAGTTAGGTAATTACTAGCTACAGACTCTAATATTTGGTGTGTTTGATTTGGTGTTCTTGCAGGTGACACATCCGGATTTCAAGAAAGCGAAGGAGAAGGTTATGTTCAAGAAGAAGGAAGGCGTCCCTGAAGGCCTTTACATGTAAAATCATTACTATTATCATCCTCGTCCACAGTTTCCTTCTAAACATTTGCTTCTGCCTAGGATCTTTCTGGTCTTATCAATTGTGGCTTTTCGGATTTCCTTTAAATTAAGAATTCCTCATTTCCATTTACGACGCCTACTTTGGAATCTTGGTTTATTCTAAACTAAAAATTTTGTTAATTAGAACCGAACGTTACAGAATGCGAGAATCAAACACCCGAAAAATAAAAAAGTTCTCTGTTGGTGCTTTACCCTCGAAAAGGAAGACCATTATTTCCAGTGGCCAAGTAATAATAATTACACAGTGTATTTAATTTCTTAAACAAGCAACATCTTTATGACAAATACGAACTTAATTTACTAGGGCGTGAAGAAGGACCATGTGGGTTTCGATCTTTTAGCGCCCATGCGAGACAAATGGTTCGGTAAACGTCAAGGTAGCAACCGAACTGGGCTGAGCAAGTGACTCGGCTGTTTCACCAGAAAATTGAGTAGTTCCAACGATTTCTCGAGCTTTCACAATGTCAAGCAAGTTGGTAGGTAGTTGAGCTACACCGTCCAAGAACTGGATAACACTCGACATGCTCGGTCTAGTGGCTGCAACCGGATGCGAACAGAGCAAGCCCAGCTTCAGGACAAGTGTTACTTGCTCCTTGAGACGCTCATCATCATGCTTAACCTTCTCATCAACCACTTGCAATATGTCATCTTCCCAACAATCTAGCACCCAATCCGTAAGTACCATCTGGCTCGGCAAAGATGCTCGTGGCAAGACGGGTCTTCGCCCGCAAGTAATTTCTAACATGAATACTCCGAACGCGAATACATCAGAGCTCGTGCTTGCCTTTCCTGTTCTCGAGAGCTCCGGTGAGATGTACCCAAACGTGCCAGCCACGTTAGAGGTTTGCGGGTCAAACCCGTGATCACAGAGCTTCGCAAGACCAAAATCACCGAGCTTTGCGTTCATAGATTCATCAAGAAGAATGTTTGCTGGCTTAATGTCCCTGTGGATGATGACTTGAACCCATTGCTGGTGTAAATAGCAGAGACCAGAAGCTACATCTTTGATGATCTTGAATCTTTGTGGCCAGTCAAGACTCTGTTCCGGTTGATGGTAGAGAAACTTATCAAGACTGCCTTTAGGCATACAATCGTAGACCAGATAGAGTTCGCCTTTGCGCCTGCAGTAACCAAGAAGCCGAACTAAGTTAGGATGTCTGAGACGCCCAATAGTCGCGATCTCAGCGATGAACTCTCTCATTCCTTGTCTCGAATCATGAGAAACTTTCTTCACCGCGATGTCCATGTTTGACGTCAGTAATGTACCTTTGTAGACTTTTCCAAACCCTCCTTTACCAAGAAGCTCACTGTTCTTGAAACCCTTTGTGGCAGTGTAGAGATCCTTGTAAGCGAACCTGTGTGGACCAAACTGAACCTCCCAGTCTTCAAGAACTTCCATTAACTTCTTCCTTTTCAAGAAAAGCATATAACTTATGGTCAAGAAGATGAGGATTACGAGGCCGGTTAAACTCAAACCGATAGCCAAGATCTTTTTCAGACTAGTCCGAGTCCTAGAGTCTTCTTGATAGAGACTAGGAAGTTTTGGAAGACGAGATGGATCTATGTTTGCAGCTCTCCCATTGACCTTGAAGGTCCAAGCAAGAATATAGTGAGCTGAAAGAACAGAGCCCGTGGATGAAGTGAAGCCAACGTACATCAACTCGTGGAGAACTGACGACAAATCTTTGGTTAGAGAAAGCAGTGGAATCTTCGGCTTAGGGACATGAAGAGGGTGTAGTGTGACATTCAGTTGCTTGCTTGAGGAATCATATTCGACCCAGGCTTGTATCGGTTTTCGATTTATAAGAATGATTTTCTTGAAAGTACCATCGTCTTCGTAGTAACCTGCGGTAGAAGCTTTCTCTGAATTCAAGCTATTGATGTCGATACCAACATGGTTATCATCCATGTCGTCAAACTCAGTGCTTCGGATCGTATCAAACTCAACTGCTACGACATGATTTGAGGAATTTCCATTGTTTGTGATATTAAAGAGCCCCAGGTATTGTGAGGCCGTAGCATAGGGCAAGCCTTTGGTAGGACAGATGGCAAAAGCAATTCCATGGCCACTGAGAACAAATGTAGTGGAGAAGGACGAAACGGTTCCGTTTGGTGAGTCCTTGAACCGAACTGGGTTGTTGTAGAAAACTTGACCAGTCTTTTGTACGGAAGTATTTGATAGCTTCACTAATCCGTTGGAATCAAGATTGGCAGTTCCATAGCTGTCGTACAAGTAACCATTGAAGCCGAACTCTCCTTCTTCACTCTGAGCTACTGCTTTGTTGCAGATGAATTGAGGCAAAAGAAGAAGCACCAGTACTACAAACATATTTAATCGTTTTTTTTTTTCTTTCTGATGAATGATCTTAGTCTTACCAGATGTTTTTGATCTGAAAAAGAATTCTATTTGTAGCCTGTAGGAATTTCGACATAGGGACGACTTGGAGAGTCGAAAACTCTCAAGTGTTGGTGATAAAAATGTTGAATAGTTCATACAAAAAAAAAATGTTGAATAGTCATTATTTCCGCGTTTCCCTACCATACGGTCCATACCAAATTACCAATCCCTTTCTTTGACGCCTCTTGCTGGTTTTATTTTCCTCTGTGATACACATCTCAAAAGGTATAAAGTATTTGAATCTTTGTCTCGAGCATTTGTATCTTTGATTTTGAAATAGCCTCTTTATGGGCCTAATATTCGTAACATAATGGGCTTTAGCATCAAGCCCATATTGCACACAATCGACTCAGCTGGAGTTTGAGGTGACTGATGCCGTGGAGAGAGAGAGAAAAAGACAATCATCTGGTATGTAATCTTTGAAGACTCCTTATCTCTATCCACCACGAACTGAGAGAGAGGGAAAAATAAAAACAACAAAGAGCAGAGGAGACAGAAAAACATGAGATAAGGATTTGAAGCCTCTCACCCCTTTCCTCGTTATTCTCTGGGCTTATTTATCAAACAAGAACATTTCTGGGAAAATTTTCTCAGAGCAAGGCGAACTAAAAGGTAGCTCCTTTTCTTAGTTTTTCCTCAAATGGGTTTTCTTTCAAAGTAATTATGCAATCATGCAAAGACTCATCGCGTCTTGTCATGATAAGATAAGTCCGAAATTTACTGCCTTTCGTTTCCGTCACCCGTGTGTGGAGATTGAATTTTTGAGTCGTTTAGTTAGAAATGCAATGCAATTTCAATCCCACTTGAGAAAAGAGTGACCTTTTCCTCAGTTGTGTTAGTATTTGCTTCATTTCAGTTTCTGTTGTTGCCCAATTAAGCTTGAAATTTGACAGTGTGTGTAATGCGTTCATGTCGTAGGTGACAGTTTGTAGCTACATTGAAGATGGCTACGATGACCCCTTCTTCAATCAGCAACGCCTGGCTCATTCCCGGAGCCTCTTTCACTGTAAAGAAGAACGATTGCTCCATCAAATGCTGCTTCTCGCGTAAAGCCGGCAAACAAATACCATCATCAGCTCAGAGACTCGTCTTGCCTCTTTCCACTTCGCTTAAACTGTTTCCTACTCATGGAAGGCAGTTTGTGTTGCATCCTCATCGTATCAGAGCCACTGGGACTGATGTTGTGGCACTAGAGGAACAAGACTCTCCTCCTGTTGCAGAAACCGATGCAAATGACAAGTCAGCAGCTCCAGCTCCTGCCACTACTACTACTACTCCAACATCTCAGTCAAGAGGAACAGCAAGACCCGGAAGGACTAACGAAACGCCGACGGTTAAGAACGAGGAGCTTGTTCCCGGAGCTACCTTCACTGGGAAAGTACGAGCGATCCAGCCTTTTGGTGCTTTCGTTGCCTTTGGTGCCTTCACTGATGGACTAGTCCATGTCTCTCAGTTGAGTGATAGCTTTGTTAAGGATGTTGCGAGTGTTGTCACTATTGGACAAGAGGTGAAAGTGAGGCTGGTGGAAGCTGACATTGAAGGAAAACGTATTTCTCTCACAATGCGTGAGAATGACGACCCTCCCAAGCGCCAGTCCGGTGGTGGTAGTAGTGATAAGCCGAGACCAGGAGGAGGGAAGAGGAATGCTTCAAAAGGAGGGCAGAGGAAGGAAGATGGTTTCAACTCAAAGTATGTGAAAGGGCAGATGTTGGATGGAGTGGTGAAGAATTTGACGAGGTCAGGAGCGTTTATAACGATAGGTGAAGGCGAGGAAGGGTTTCTACCTACCAATGAGGAAGCTGATGATGGGATTGGGAGCATGATGATGGGTGATGGCTCTTCGTTGCAAGTTGGACAGGAGGTTAAGGCTCGTGTGTTGCGGATTGCGAGGGGACGTGTTACTTTGACGATGAAAGAGGAAGATGATGGTAAGTTTGATGAAACTGTTAGTCAAGGAGTTGTGCATACAGCCACGAATCCGTTTGTGCTTGCTTTCCGTAAGAACGAAGAGATTGCTGCGTTTCTTGACAAGAGGGAGGAAGTGGCTGAGAAACCAGTAGAGCCTGTGAATGAATCAGAAGAAGCTGAAGCCACTATCACAAGTGAAGAGGTTCTCACATCAGAGACTCCCAAGGTAGAAGAAGAAGTGATAGCGGCGAAAGCTGAAGATGATTCACAGGAAAAGGTAGAGCAGACAGAAACACTTGCTGCAGCAGCTGAAGCTGAAGAGGTGGAGAAGATTCCAGAAGAAAGTGGCAATGTGATCAGTTCTGAGACAGTACCAGATGTTCCTTCAATTCCAGAAACCAAAAGTAGGTTGAGTTTTACCTTCTATTATATTGAATTAATTCATTGTTTTAATGTGGTAATAGCATTGAACCTATTCGTCTACTGGTGACCAGATGAAGAGGAAATTGCTGAGAACTCTGTTCCTTCAGAACCACCCACTGATGAAGTTTCATCTTCAGAAGCTGTAGCCAGTGAAGAGGTTCAAAAGGAGGAAGTGGTGGCCGAAGTACCTACTGCTAATTATGATGAGACTC